TTTGTTTACCGCTTCATGAAGTCTTGGCTCATGGATATCCTTTCCTGGGGTACTTATTGTGACGTAAACTGCCTATAAACCCTGCATCCAATCTGTGCCTTGAACCTGCCTTCAGCCCCTCCTCTTTCTACCTCTGTGCCTCCACAGTATAAGGATCCGGCTATTCAGGAAGACAGAGGCTGACAAACTCCCCCCGGATTGTCCCTATGACTGTGCCATAGATTAGTTGCCAGGGACAATGCCACCCAAGGGCAGAGTATATCCCCTTTTGGAGCTGGAGAACAAGATTATGGAGGAGTACATCGAAGAATCTCGTAGGAAAGGTTTTATTAGGAGATCCTCCTCTTCGGCAGGTGCTGGCTTTTCCTTTGTCTCCAAGAAAGAGGGTGACCTGAGGCACTGTATCGACTACAGGGGCCTCAACAGGATCAAGGTACGCAACGCGTATCCCATTCCGCTTATTACGGAGCTCTTTGACCATGTGAAGGGCTCTAAATATTATACTAAATTGGACCTTAGTGGGGCTTACAACTTGGTCAGGATAAAGGAATAGGATGAGTGGAAGACTGCTTTCAATACCCGTAGTGGTCACTATGAATACCTGGTAATGCCTTTTGGCCTATGTAACGCTCCCGCAGTCTTCCAGGACTAAATTTATGACGTCCTCTGGGATCTCCTGCATGTATGTGCAGTGGTGTATCTGGACAATATACTTGTTTATTCCCCAGACCTTGAGACCCACCATAAACACGTCAGATGAGTATTGAAGAAACTGCTGGACTGCTGGTCTTTATTGCAAGCTTGAGAAGTGTCTCTGCGACCATACCTCTGGGCAGTTCTTGGGTTACATCATATCTGAGCATGGGTTTAGTATGGGGTCTGGGTCCGAATAAACTGGAGGCTGTTAAGTCCTGGCCACTTTCGCAAGGGCTTAAGGCCATACAAATATTCATAGGTTTTGCGAATATTACAGAAAGTTAATAAAGAACTTCTCTTCCATAGTTGCCCCTATTACCAAGTTAACCAAAAAGGGTACCAACCCACGTGAATGGGGTTCCCGAGGCTCTTGTGGACTTCAAAATGCTAAAGGAAGCATTTATGTAAGCCCCTGTTTTGCACCATCCTGACCCACCACTGCCTTTCATAGTTGAAGTGGATTCGTCTGAGTGAAGGGTTGGTGCAAGCCTCTCCCAAAGGAAGATACACAACAATCCTCTCCACCCGTGTTGTCATTTCTCCAAGTAAATATCAGATGCAGAGAGGAACTATGATGTAGGAAACAAGGAATTGTTAACCATAGTTCTGGCTTTCAAGGAGTGGACACACCTCCTGGAGGGGTCCAGATACCCCATCTTGGTTATTACAGAACATAAAAACCTCTCCTATATAGCAGAGGCCAGACGGCTATCCTCTCGCCAAGCTAGGTGGTCCTTGTTCCTATCACATATCCAATACACCAAACTGTATAGACATGGATAGCTTAACACCAAGGCAGATGCCGTATCCAGGCAACATGAGCCATTAGAAGTTGTTCCTACTCCCCCTGAACCCATAGTCCCTCCCGCAAACATTGTTGCTGCTACCCACCTCGTGATTTCCTCCCTCTTCCTCGATTAGATAAAAGGTTACCAAAACCAAGCACAACCCAAAACACGCACTGGGTTATTGTTCGTACAGGGAAGAGACAGGAGAAAAATTATGACATTATATCACAGGGCAAAGACAGTGGGTCACCCAGGTATCAGCAAAACATATGAAATCATAAGAAAACAGTTTCAGCGGCCTTCTGCTAGACAGGATGTTAAGGAGTCTGTACTCAATCTACGTCCCCTACAAGCAAGCCACCCCATCTTCTTATGCCCCTATTGGAACCCAAGACTCCTTGGACACACCTCTCCATATATTTTATAGTGGGCCTTCCCCCCTCTGAAGACCTTACAGTCATTTTAATGGTGACCGTCAGATTCTTTAAAATGGCTCACTTCATTCCGCTGAAGAAGCTCCCTTCTCCTGTGCAACTGGCTGAGGTCTTCGCAAAGGAAGTGTTCAGGCTACATGGTATCCCAGTAGACGTAGTCTCTGACAGGGGTCCCCTATTTATAGAGGTTTTGATGGGGATTCTTTGCAGAAATGGGTATATCGTTGTCCTTTTCCTCTTCCTACCACACACAGTCAAACGGTGCTGCTGAAAGGGCATACCAGTCTCTGGAACACTACTAGTGCTGCTTTGTTAATGAGCAAGAGGACAATTGGTCCCACCTTCTCCCATGGGCTGAGTTTGCCAGGAACACAGTCTCTCATGCCACTACTGGCTTAAGTCCTTTCCAGGTGGCATATGGTGTGCAACCCAGCGTCCTTGCCGGTGTGTTCTACAACAAGGGAATACCCGCTTTGGACGACCACCTTGCCACTCTGTGGGAAGTGTGGGATCAGGTCCATGTAGCTCTCTCTCTTGTGCAGCTGAGTCCCAGAAGAAGTTCGCTGATCGCCATAGAGCTGTGGCACCCTATGTACCTGGTGTATCGTGTATGAAGCTAGTGCCCAAATTCATCAGTCCGTATAGGGTGCTGTGCAGGGTCAATCCAGCCTCTTACTCCTTGGAGTTGCCTCCATCCCTGCGCATCCCCAATATGTTCCACATGTCCCTTTTGAAACCCATCCTGTGCAACTGGAACACGGGGTCTGTTAGATGCCCTGGTCCTGTCCGGTCTGACTCTGGTGAGGAGTACAAGGTTCAGTCCCTCCTCCTTTCTGAGCCTTAAATGGTCTCTCAGCCTGGTTCAGTAGGAATCAGAATCATGGGGAAGACTGCTGACCTGACAGTTGTGCAGAAAACCATAATTGACACCCTCCATAAGGAGGAAAAGCCTCAAAAAGGTAATTGCGAAGGAAGTTGGATGTTCCCAAAGTGTTGTATCAAAGCACATTAATAGAAAGTTATGTGGAAGGGAAAAATGTGGAAGAAAAAGGTGCACAAGCAGCAGGGATGACCGCAACCTGTAGAGGAGTGTCAGGAAAAGGCAATTCAAATGTGTTGGGGACTTTCACAAGGAGTGGCCTGAGGCTGGCTTCAGTGCATCAAGAGCCCCCACACACAGATGGATCAGATGTCGTATTCCTCTTGTCAAGCTGCTCCTGAACAACAAACATCAGAAGCGTCTTACCTGGGCTAAAGAAAAACAGACCTGGGCTGTTGCTCAGTTGTCCAAAGTCCTCTTTTCTGTTGAGAGCAACTTTTGCATCTCATTTGGAAACCAAGGAGGAAGAATGGAGAGGCACACACTGCAAGATGCTTGATGTCCAGTGTGAAGTTTCCACAGTCTGCGTTGATTGTGGAGCCATGTCATCTGCTGGTGTTGGTCCACTGTGCTTCATTAAGTCCAGGATCAACGTAGCCATCTACCAGGCGATTTTGGAGCACTTCAAGCTTCCTTCCACATATGAACTTTATGGGGATGCGGACTTCATTTTCCAGCACCTGCCCACACTGCCAAAAGCACCAAAGCCTGGTTCAATGACCATGGGATTACTGTGCTTGATTGGCCAGCAAACTCGCCTGACCTGAATCCCATAGAGAATTTATGGGGCATTGCCAAAAGAAAGATGAGACATGAGACCGAACAATGCAGAAGAGCTGAAGGCCGCTATTGAAGCACCCTGGTCTTCCATAACACCACAGCAGTGCTACAGGCTGATAGCTTACATGCCACGCCGCATTGAGGCAGTAATTGCTGCAAAAGGGGCTCAAACCAACCAAGTACTGAGTCCATATGCATGATTAGACTTTTCAGAGGTCCGATATTGTTCTATGTACACTCCTTGTTTTATTGATTGCATGTAATATTCTAATTTACTGAGATAGTGGATTGGGGGTTTTCATGAGCTGTAAGCCATAATCATCGCACTTATGACAAATCACGGCTTGAACTATCTTGCTTTGCATGTAATGCGTCTATCTCATATATTAGTTTCCCCTTTTACGTTGCATTACTGAAATAAATGTACTTTTTCACAATCTTATAATTTTTTTAGTATCACCTGTACACGACCATGGATAAACTTGCGTGCCAGCGTGAAATGCACAACGCCCACTAGAGATACACTAAGTAACAGGATATGTTGACATCAAAAGCCAGAAACAGCATAACGTTTCCAGTGTGGAACACATGTGGTGTACACAAGACACCGATTAACGACATCTGATCATTTCTCCTATTTAAATGGAGGATAGGAAAGATGGGGATAGATACTCCTGAAGAAGAAGTCCATACAGACGAAACCTGTTGGATAAAGACATTGGAGACATTTATTTTTATTGTCTGGCTTACTCAAAGTTCTTCACCAGTAGCATCCAGATCCACTGGAAGTGGAGACATGCCTATTTTATCGTCTATTTTGTAAGTGCAATCTTAATAAACGTTTTATACCTACCATCTGCACTATTTTTGCTTTCTCTTTAAGTTTGAGAAAATTATCCACATCTCATACCCGAGTTAAGGATGATGTGCCTGATTCTATGTATCCTCTTGTGAGTGCTACTTACATATTGCGTGTTTATTGGGACATTACTTAATTACACAATGTCCAGTTTGATTTCCCCATTAGATATTCAAAGCTACTCATTCTGTTCTCATATTATGGTTGTATCACCCTTATCATTGTGATCACTTGGGAGGTGTTGCCTCTATATATCCTAATCTTACTTATTTGCATGGTTTCTTGTTTGTGGTGTTTGGAGGGCACACTATGTAGTAGGTGTTTTGACGTTTGCATACAGTGGTTATATTTTACCTTTTGTGTATTTTATATTTTGCCACTTGTTTGAGACTTTTGTTCACTACAATGTATTGAACTGAAATGACTACTTTACTGCTCTCAGTTTTACTTGTTGTTTGAGACTTTTTCACTAATATCTATTGAAGCGTATTGTGTAGTGATGTCCCGAACGGTTCGCCGCAGACTCCTCATTGAGTAAACTTTGACCCTGTACCTCACAGTCAGCAGACACATTCCAGCCAATCAGCAGCAGACCCTCCCTCCCAGACCCTCCCACCTCCTGGGCAGCATCCATTTTACATTCATTGTGAAGCTGCATTCTTAGTGAGCTGTCCAGGAGGTGGGAGGGTCTGGGAGGGAGGGTCTGCTGCTAATTGGCTGGAATGTGTCTGCTGACCGCGGCGAACCGTTCGGGACATCACTAATATTGTGTATTTGACAACCATTGCTCTTACACTAACTTAGCTAGCCTACTAGCAAATATTGAAGAAACAGATAGCAAGTCAATGAGTGGTAAATGAGCTGTTAAACAATACAATTTAGCAAGAATACTAAATATTAGCAATGTTTAGGCCCCAGAGCAACCATTACCCTATCAAAAAGACCGACAAAGCATGTGTCATTTATTGCACCACAGTCCTTTAATTGGCCAATATATGCACTTTGTTTTATACATTTAGACTGAGTTAATGTGAACACAATTTGTTATTAAAATGGCTCCTAATGAAATTGCATAACAATCTTAATATACATGCAATTAACAGCATAACCATTCACCATACCAAGTAATGATGTATAGAAAGAGCATGTTGTTATTGTTTGCTGGTTGATGCTAGATAAACTCATGGCAATTTTTATCATCAGAGAGAGTAAGAAATTATTTCATTAGAATAAACAGAAGATACTGAGTACAGAGTCTTACTGCGCTTTGGTTAACATGGACCTACTTTATAATAGGCTTGTAGTGTTGTAGTCAAGTTCTTCTTTATGCATGAACAGTGGGGGCATTTGTTCCACTAGCAAAATGAGGCCCAAACATCATATTAAAAATAATTAGTACGAAGAGAGACTGGGAAAGAAGAGCACAACATGAACTTGGAGAAATTAGGGGGATAGCCATTATCAGTTGTGCCAATTGCCCACCTTAAAGGGTTCTGGACAGGTGTACAGAATGATTTCTAGATGAATAAGCCTTTATATCCAACAGCAACACATAATCTCCATTACAGAACCAACACTTTTGGCTTAGGAAGAAAAATTAGAAGTCTTCTGAAAACCCCACCTTTATACACACACACAGATCACAATTTTGAGTTATGCAATGTGAAATTAACATCAGTTTGTTTGTGTAGATCAGCCAGTTATTCTATTAAGACATTTGTTTCAGATACATTGTAATATGGTACATTGTTATTTCATATAATTCCTGGTAGTACCAAGTAAGAAACGTGGCCATGAAGCAGAACAACTCTAACTCTGCATTCTGTGTAAATGGCAGCACTCTGGTGTCAGACAAACTCAATGTCTCTTCAAAGTCCATAGAAATAGTCACATAGAATTCTGGACAATGTTGCTTGCTTGGTTTCTACAACAGTACAGATTACATCTAGAGGATAAGGATGCTGTAGCCACATCCATCCATATTTAGCTATGTAGTATTACGGAATTTCCAATGCAACACATATGTGTTCAGCGTTTCATAGAACGCTAAACAGTACAATCTTCATTAACTATATCTGACATGACCAAGAACGAGGAGTCACCAATCCCCAGAATGTTTTCTGTGAAGAGAAAAAACATCAGTGAAAATACGGTATCTGCCAACAACTACAGTTTCAATGTGAAATAATACAAAGACTTCCTTCAAATTGCAGAAACTTAAAATATGAAACCAGGTAAGAAAAAGGACAATTTAAAAAAGAGGAAAAAAGTGTCCCCCCCACACACACAAACAAACCCCAAACACAGAGCCAACATATTTTGGCATTAAATTGATTATTAATATTATTGTCATTTATATTCATGAAATAGTTTTCCTATTCACAGTTAATTTTTTTTTGGCAATATTCCTCAGCACATACATGCCCAATATCTTATCAAACCTTTTTAAAAGTATCGGCAGATAATGCCTGTAATGGCACCCCGGGCATAAAAGGGGTTAAAAGCCGTTTAGTAGCTATTCCCCTTCCAGACACAAAGTCAGGTACCAAAGACACCAATCCGCTGAACAGGAAAAACCATACGAATAGGTTTACACTCCAGACAGCAAAATAGTAAAACCATACAAATAACCCACTACATCACCCCCCCCCCCAGTACGAGACGAGGCTCCAGATTGAGGGTCAGCAGGTGATCTGTTTAATGTGGGCTACCTGCCCGGTATTTATGCAGGTCTTCCCCTAGGGGACCTGATGGAAAACTGGGACACATATTGGACATTAACCAATCAGGACAGTTTAGCAGTAAACACTCCCACATACACATTGTACTCCCTCCTCTCTATCCTAGAGATAATTGGGAAGTAACGCAATTATCTCAGAGGAGAGAGCACAACCTCCATTTTACACGTTACTAAAAAGACATAAAAATACATAGTACTAAAACTACCGAATAAAATATGCATGTTCAACATATCCCCAGATAGCTTAGATCTAAACGCACATTCTTACCGAATGGCGCTCAGATCACATACATACAGTCTCTCGCCATGGAGCCAAAGTTTTTCACATAGTCTTTCGTTATGCGAATAGGCTCCATGGCATAGCTATCTGGGGTAACACTGTTTACCCAGCCAAAGTCCCGAACAGCCCGGCGTTCGTATAAACGGATGGATACAGGAGAAGGGAGGTCGGCGGCTTCAGCGGTGTTCATGAAGAAAAGTGTCCGTTTTTAGTTCCAGAGTTTTGTAGCTGAACACCGCTGGCAGTTCCACAGTTTAAGATGGCCTCCGCCACGTGTTCGGCTATACGAACGACAGCCACCCAGCGTTTGTCAATTAAGCTGCGGTTAACCACAGCTTCTGGGAGTTCAATTGCCTGCACACTCCATACCCAGGTGGTCCGGTCATTTGTACGTTTGTTCGGTAAATTGAATTTACTGAACACCATAGCAGAAAGGCATGAACAACCATTTTTACAGGGGGGAAATACAAGTTTTAACATAGGGGCCATAGTCCTGAGGCAGCAGGCGAGCAACCAGGCTTCTCCAGGACCCAGTGGCGAGGTTAGTTTTGCCACAATGCCTATTAATGCTATGCTTTATACCACTCAAAAGTTGCCAATGTTCAATGATCATTAGCTAGTCACTTGTGTGAATTGTATTCACAAAGAAATGCCTCAAGTTTAACTTATGGTTTTTTAAATCTGTGGTTGTGGCCAAAATTTGTAAATGTACGTATAAAACAAAAAAAGAGTAATGGTCATGACATCCGAGCTGGAGTGTACCACTATGCAGGGTGGTATTAAATAGAACCTAAGGCCTCAATTTAATGAGCTTTCCAAATGATTTAATACAGTTAGAAAAAGCCTTTAAAATTATCACCTACAGAAGACACCATTAAAGTCTATGGGAATGTTTTTGAACAGTATTAAATCACTTGGAAAACTTAATAAATGAAGGCCCAAGTATAGTAAAAAACTTATATTAATAGAAAAGGAATAAAAATATAGGATAATGTGGCAAAACAAAGAAAGGGGCATATGAATACCCTGAATGATTGCAAAGCAGCATTGGTGGGTAAAAGAACAACCATAACCATCTGGACTGGAGGTGTGGGTTAGTAAGCAAGGGCACCTGAATATACAATTATTTTGCCTGACCTGGACATCCGATATAATGGATGGTTTATGAGCACCAGTGTTTTTTTTCCCCCACATGTCCATCTGTTAACTTGGGGCAATTAAGTTGTGGCCTGACCTCAGTCCTTAAGACTGGGAATGCTGTTTAAAATGCACATTGTCAAGGTTAAAAATGACTCTTTGATCACATAATAATTGGGATCAGCTTAAAATGTCTTTCAGGTAATATATATTTGTGGTCGATTAATATCGAAACCGTGAAATACCTTGTGATTGGAATTAAGTCGTGTGCTGTGCCAGAACCGACGTAGAGGTAGGCCTGTAAAAGAAGGCCCTCCTGAATGGATTGTATAAGAGGGTAAGGTTGGTGGGGTGAACAGCGTGCGTTTACGGCAAGGTAGGGAGGGGGGGAGTAGCGTCTATATAGGAACGCTAACTCCTCCCACAAATACAGGCCTTCGGCCTTAAACTTGTGGTCGGTTAATATCGATACTGTGAAATACCTTGTGATTGGAATTAAGTAGGTCTGGTGTGCCGGAACCGACGTAGAGGTAGGCCTGTAAAAGAGGGCAAAAGGAAATGCAAGGAAAACACACTTCTTGCAATTTAATTAACCCATAAGATTTGTTCTCCTTATCTCTTATGCGTTTTGGAATGTTCCTGTATAACATAGCTGATTTCCAGTGAACCTAATTTATTATGTTTACCGGCGTACTGCTACTGGATGCGGTATTTAAATCGAATGGATGTTTTAACTAGGAGACAGGGTCCCAGCCTAATCTAATGCAAGGAGTTCGAATGTAGAACCGCATTTAGATGCAGTTAGGGGATTATTTAGAAGAGCTAGTGTCTTAATTGACTGTTTGAATGTTTGAATGTTGGCGTGACATGAGGTAGTGTGTGAACCTTCTTAAATCTTCCTTGAGGAGATGTGATTCGCCAGTCTGATTACACACAGTCAGGCACACACACACACACACAGTCAGACACAAACACACACACAGTCAGACACAAACACACACACACACACACACACAGTCAGACACAAACACACACAGTCAGACACACACACACACTCACATCAAAAAAAGTTTTCTTTTTATTTAACCCCCCCAGCCTCCTTACCTTTGGGAGTGCTGGGGGGCGGGGTTCCTCTTTCTCCCTGGTGGTCCAGTGGTTGCCGGTCGGGCTGGCAGGCGGGCGGCACTAGCGAGGGAGCTCTTCCTCTGAGCTGACTGCTCAGCTCCCTCGTGCGCCGCAGAGTGAGGTTGGGAGCCGGAAGATGACGTCATATTCCGGCTCCCAGCCTCACTCTGCGGCGCGCGAGGGAGCTGAGCAGACAGCTCAGAGGAAGAGCTCCCTCGCCAGCGTGTCTGTTAGCCGCGAGGCTAACAAGACATTTGCCCTGGGCTTTTGGGGGCGGCATTTTTTGCCGCCCCCTGAAAAATGCCGCCCAAGGCAAATGCCTTGTTTGCCTCGCGGCTAATATGCCCCTGGGTGGAGTGATGAACCAATTATTAATATCTTGATATCCTAAGGTAAGCATTTATGAAGACGGTGTATGGTTTGACAGGCATGTCGGAATGTGATGTCGT